GTGTGTGTGTGTGTATATATATATATATATATATATATATATATATATATATATATATATATATATATATATATATATAGAGAGAGAGAGAGAGAAGAACCATATATATATCTGTGTTCATAATAAGAAAACATTTTGTGAAATGTCATATAGAGTCAAAATAAACACTGCATTAATGTAACTCTAGGATGCGAGAGGTGTTTGTTAAATTTGAGTAAGTGCTTGCGCTCGGATCTGATCCCTTATTTGTGTAACACAGACATGTTTGCTGACTGTGTGCATCTTGAACCGTAAAGACTTTATGGCTGCTGGATGAGGCTTTATTGGTTAACGTCTCTCTGTGCTTGTTCCCTGTTTGCTCTGGTTTTGCTCTCAGGTTTTGGTTTGTTCCACTGGCTCCTGCTGGCCGTGTGCGGCTGGGCCAACGCCAGCGACGCCGTGGAGATCCTCTGCGTGTCTTTCCTGCTGCCGACTGCGCGCTGCGATCTGCTGCTGAGCTCCTCGGACATGGGCCTGCTCACTGCCAGCATTTTCCTCGGTGAAGCATCGAATAAATCCAACAATCGTCTGATTGTTTAACAGTCCGAACGGTTGCCTCGGGCACTGCTTTGTTTTGATGAGCTCCATATGAAGAGCTCACTGAACAAACAGACGGAAGATCGTTTCTGAACTCAGCAGGGGATTTTTCACTGTTAACTCATTTATTGTTTGAATTGTGCAACAGATGTTTCAAAACTCTGTTCTTGTTTGAACGTCGTTCTTCATTAACTTCTAGCTGCTGCCCGCAGTGGGAATGTTTGGACATTTATTTAAGTTTTGTACCACATTCCCATTTTCCTGAGGAAACAAAACTACATTTTCCACTTTTATTGAAAAATCTGTAAAAAAAAAAAAGTACCCAAAAAATCCCCTCTTCCAACACAACAAATGAATCTTTAATAAACATAAACACAGATCAACAGTTATATCATATTCACTGTTAAATTTAATAAAGTTCAGCCCTTTTCTAAGTGTTAAAATACAATAGAGGAGAAAAGGACAATAATTAACTTTCTGCTGCACAGGATGATCTGAAAATTTATCATAGATGGATTAGGGCATTTAATTATGGAGCAGAAAGCGTGTTCCTCGTACAAGATTCAAAGAATATTTTAAGTCGGTAAAAAGTCCTCATAGCTAAAATGTCTGAGAAAAACCACCAGCTTGATTTCAAAACCTTCAAAAGTAGCTCACAGAAAGCAGAAAGTCTCAAATCTAAATTTAAGAGATCTTTGGTATTCTTCAGGCAGGAGTGACAGTTTGAGCATGGATCAACAGATTTTATGTAATTATATTATTTCTGGAGTTACTTCTATGGTTTTTAGCAACATTGCTTCTGAGAGTTACAGTAACATGACTTAGTGTAACTCATATTTTATTTATTAGTTATTTGTTTCATTTCAGGGAAATATACCATACCCACTGGTGGTCACTGCTGACTTATGAGTCAGTTGCGCTAACCTTAAAGCACTAATCACAAACACTAAAGCACTATACCAACGCTGTATTTAGCGGAAGCTAATGCTAACATGTTTACTTCAACTCAAATTTTATCTGCTGTCTTCACCCACTTCAGTCAATAACCAAAATCTAAACGGAGATGTCGAACCTTATTCATCTGAAAATTTGTTGAACAGCCGAGTAAATTAGCGCTTTAGAATTTATACGGAAAAAATAATTTAGCGGAAGCTAAGTGTGCTAAATGTTTTCCAAGTTAGCAAAAATGCTAAATGAAAAATTAGCTCTGCTATCAACACAATAGCATGGAAGTTTGCCACCGTATCTTATTAGATTTGTCTGAAAACAATCATGAAAAAAGAAGAGGGGTGACCAGTTTTTACTAGTTTCTTTTAAATGTTCAAGTAAATAAAATTTGCTAAAAAAAAAAAAAGGAAATGAAGTTCGAAATTGGCAGCAACACATGGTTCAGTAGTTAATTTTTAACTGTACCCCTGTAATGTTTTTATGTTCGTAGGAATGATGGTTGGCGGCTACATGTGGGGATACCTGGCTGACCAGAGGGGGCGCCGTAAGGTGCTGGTGGTGTCGCTGACCGTAAACGGGCTGTTCGGAGGGCTGGCCAGTGCGGCTCCGTGGTTCTGGCTCTTCCTGCTGCTGCGGTTCATCAGTGGCATTGGGTGAGCGCAGGATTCTCTTGAGACGTGAACGAAGTCTGGTCTGTTCGTCACAGTTCAAACGCCTAAAACGTTTTAAGCAGATCCATTTTTTAAGACAATAATTAAAAAGGTTTAAGAAGCTTCATTCTTGCTTCCTTTGGCCTTCATTTAAGCACCTTGCTGATATAAAAAAAAATAGCTCCCTTTGAGTCTTCTCTCAGTAACAACTGCCACACTGAAGAATGGTGACCTGTGACATGTTCACTGATTGGAAAACTGTTGGATTTGTGCTATGTCTTGTTGCATCTCTTGGACTTTATGAAGAAATCTGAAGTCAGACTTGGCTGCAGGGAACAGAAAGGGGTCTAGACAGGCGTCATACCAATATTTGGAAATAACACAATGGCACTCCAGAACAGCAGGGGGCGCTACTTCTTACGCTGGCCTTGGTCTCACGGTTGTCATTTTTAATTATTTTTAAATCCTTACTGATTCAGATCAGACTGGCATCAAATAAGATGGATCCACTAAACATTTGTTTATTAACCTAATATAATGTAGATGTCAAAAGACAAAAACATGAAATAATGGCTAACATGAAATAGTGCCCCCTGCTGTTCTGGAGTGCAATTCCGCCATTTTCAAATTGTTTTCCCCAGCCAGATATACTTGGACATTTTCTCCGAAAAGTAAAACCGCAGAAAATGTTTAAAGCTCCATATGTACCCATGAGTCCATCGTTAGACTAATTTTTTTATTTATTTATTTTTTGTATTGTCTTATGCTCTGTTCTGTAGGGTGGGTGGATCCATCCCTGTCATCTTTTCCTACTTCTCAGAGTTCATGCCCCGGCTGAGGAGAGGGGCCATGATCAGCGCTCTGGCCACCTTCTGGATGGCAGGAAACATCCTGGCTGCAGGTGGGAACAACAAACTGGACCGGGGAGAAAAAAAACAATATAAAAAAAAATTGATTCAACAGGGAAAAAAAACTATAAAAGTACTAAAGATGGCTGCTTTCTATCTGAAAGGGCTAAAAATTACTTTAATGGACATATAGTGGAATGAGAGTGAGTTTTTTTTTTTTTTTTTGGGGTCTGGCCTGGTTGGTGATTCCCAGAACCTGGGCCCGTTTCTCTCTGGGAACATTAGACTTCCAGAGCTGGAGGCTGTTTGTGGTGCTGTGCTCGGTTCCCAGCACCTCCTCCGCCATCCTCTTCAAGCTGCTCATGCCCGAGAGCCCAAAGTTCCTCATGGAGGTAACCGGGAGGGCAGACAAACGTTCGCCGACGCTTTTCCTTCAGAAGAGACCTTTGACTCTCATTCCTGGGTTTGTTTTCCAGGCGGGTCGGGCAGAAGAGGCGATCCGGGTCTTCAGGCTGATGTTTGAGATGAACATGAAGGGAACAGAAAAGGCCTTTCCGGTACGCAGCACTAACTTTGTATCTTAGCTTATTTCTGCAAGCTAACTTTCTCTCTCTTTTTGAAGGAATTTGCTTTGCGTACAAACTCCAAACCAGGAGGGGAAATCAGAGAGATCGGATCTGGTGATACAAAAAGAAAACATCTCATGAGTGTTTTAAAACAGGTAATGTTTAATTACAGGGAATCAGAATAAAAGGGGCTAGAAAAAAGATAAATTTGTTTAAAAAATTTCATTTACCATCTTTACAACGAAGTCCTAATTTGTGACACATGGATTATTTATAACATTTTGTTCACTTTGTCTGTTACTAATTTTACTATATTCATCGAACTCGCAGGCCTTGCTTCCCATTAAACAGATGTTCAGTGGCTCTGTCAAAGCCCGCAGCATCGTCCTGCTCATCATCTTCTACTGCATCTCGTTTGGGTGAGTTCAGGTCTTCTCTCTGCCAGTGTGTCTGCGCATCCTGAAGAGGTCTCAGATTCATGTATGTAAAATTAAGGCCTTAAAATGTATTAAATTTGTTTAAAAATGTAAGTTGGCCTTAAATACATTGATTACAAGTCTTAAATTTTGTAGTGGGAAAATTAAATCTTATATATTCTGTGTAGAGACTTTTCTGTCAGTCAAAAGTTCGAGTCGCTCGTTTTGTGACTCAAGACGGTTGAGGCTACTGCTAATTAGCTGCTAATATGCTGTTGCTAATCAGCTTTTTTGTGTCTTTTATGGGTGAGTGTAAATTTAATATGGGATTTCCTTTTGTACATTTCTGTCACAATACAGGTCTTAAATTTAAGACCTGTACAATGGTCTTAAAAAGTCTTAAATTTGAGTTTGAGGGTTTGAGAAGCCCCGCTCTGTCCTGAGCTTCCTTCATGGGGTTTTTATGCATCTCCAGTGTGAATAAAACACACATGGGAACAACATTCTCTGCTGATTCACTGAATCTGCAGCTGGGCACTGCATTACTACAAACCAAACCAAACCAAGAGATAAAGCATGGAAGTTGTTTTTTTGTTTTTTTATCTTCTGCAGCCAGATAACGGCTAATGTTAAGCTAAAAGATGCTCCGTTAATTATTAACAATGGCTGACTCCAGGCTGTTTTACCTACCTCACTTCCACCATGTCTTGATTTGTGTAGGTACTATGGGCTGTGGATGTGGTTCCCAGAGCTTTTCGCTCGAGTTGAGAGCAGCGGCGGCTCTCCCTGCGCCAACGTCTCTGTGCCGTCTGCGCTCAACAACCAAAGCTGTTACCCGGTCAAGACAGCAGGTGGGCTGTTAAAGCAGGAATTTGACTTTACCTGGAGGCTCAAATCTGCTTATTTTGCTTTACAGCAAAGTAGCAGATCACGCTGGTTTTTGCAGAATAAAAAATGGCGACCTGAAGGTAAAAGTCTAAATGCTTTGTGTTCAGCATGTGTGGGGTCTTCAGAGAGATGTTCGGTCAGACCAAATCATTTCTTTTTTTTTTCTTTTTTTTGATCTGCTAGATGAAATGGAGACAGAGGGGAATATTTCCCAAAACTACTCTGGTTATCTAAGAAGTCTTGTTCGCTGATGTGTGAAAAAAGGACAGATTTAGAAATTTTAGAAACGTTGCTCCTTAATTAGGCAGAAAAATCTAATTTTAGTCCATTGAGCTGTTTGTCTCCAATGTTTATTCTGGACAACTAATAACTCCATTTAGGTTTCTTTCAGGCTTTGAATTACTGAGAATGAGCTGGGGTTGTTTTTTTTTTTTGTCTTTTGTTTGTTCTTAATTTCAGCTACTCCAGATTTCCAACCAACCATGCAACAATTATAAAAAAAAAAAAAAAAAAAAAAAAAAAAAAAAAGGGTCTGTCTGGAGCGTTTGTTAGGAATGACCAAACTCAACAGGCAGAGCATAAACAGGCCGTTAGACGTATTTGTGTTGATCTCTGTAAGTCAGGAAAGTTTAACTTTAGATCTGTAAAGTCGCCTAAGGCAGTTGGAGAGAGCTGAGAAAAAGAATTTATCATAAACGTGGTTTTAAAAAGCGGATATAATAGTTGCTGTTTTGCAGATAAAATCCCAAGAAGTCGGGCTCTCCTCTTTCCTTTCTGATCTTCTCACCCACGCTTCCTCTTCCTCACAGTCTACATGGAGGGCTTCATCATCGCTGCATCGAACCTGCCAGGCAACATCTTCACCATCCTCATCATGGACAGCACCGGCGGAAAGACTCTGCTGTGTGAGTTTGGTTTTTATCAGACTCTTTGCCTCTTTATAAGGAAATCCTGTCGGCCCACTTTAACAGTTTTCTCTTAAACTGTTTGCTTTGCTGTTTGCTTCAGTCACCTCGCTCTGTAGCATCTGACATCCTAGCAACGGGATGTCTGGACATCCTTAAAAAGTATTAATTTCGTGTGTCTAAAATTAAGTCCTTTAAGTACGTTACTCAAAGGTTTTAAATGTTGTTGTGGCAGGGTTATTTAATTTTGTATATATTATGATCATGTGATTTAGGTTACTGCTAACTAGCTGCTAACATATCCTTGATAGCTTGCTGGCTTTTTTGCAGCTGTCATAGCTAAGTGTAAATTTCTCGCCGGTTGCCTTGACAACTCGTACAAAGTCAAATGCATTCTGGGCAAGATAGTTCGGCACAGAAAACGGTCGTTGCTGCTACAGTTACTAGCATTAATCTAAGAGCAACAACCTTTTCTTCCTCCATAGCTTTCCTTTCTTTAGCACATTTCCGTCGTGATACAGGCCATAGTGGTCTTAAAAAGTCTTAATTTTGAGTTGGCGAAGCCTAACCTCTCCCTGTTTGGTCCGCCGCTCAGCCTGCAGCCTGATCGTGTCCAGCCTGAGCGTCTTCCTCATCTACGTGGTCCAGACCAAAGCCCAGAGTCTGGGTCTGTCCTGCATCTTCAGCGGGGTCTCTGTGATCGCCTGGAATGCTCTGGATGTGGTGGGAACCGAGCTCTACCCGACCCAGCTAAGGTAACCCGGCTCAGAAACGTCAAACTGCACCGAATGCAGCGGATGTTTTTCATGTGGTTTCAGCCAACGCTTCTCCTCTTCCTCCTCCTCCCTCCCCAGATCCTCGGCCCTGGGTTTTTTCACCGGAGTGGGCCGAGTGGCGGCCATCATGGGGAACGTGGTCTTCGGGAAGCTGGTGGACTCCAGCTGCACTGTTCCCATCCTGCTGGTGTCGGCCCTGCTGCTGACGGGAGGTCTGGTGGCTCTTCTGCTCCCACAGACCAGGCAGACGGAGCTCACCTGATTGCTGACTTTGGTTTTTTAGAAACTCAAACAAAGCTCTTAAAGTTCTCCAGACCCAAACGAATCTGGTGTTTCTGTTGCCTTCAGACAATTCTCTGTGCCTTTTAAATTCGGGCTCATTTGCCAAAAAACAATAGAAACTACATGATATGTGGTGGGCTCCTGAGAGTTCTGCTGTTGACATCAGATCTTGGGTTTTGGGGAAGCAAATCTGATTGCCTTATTTTTTATTTTTTTACAATTTTAGCATAAGAAAATATAAAAACGCTACTGAAAAATATATTTTCCTGATGTGACCGGCCATTAATTGTGTACACTAAAAGCAGAGGCGACCTCAGTGTGTGTCTTCTATGAGCGATTAGCGCAGTTAGCACAGCAAGCTAAACAACATTCCTACAGAAATTATTACCCAATGTTGGTGCTAGGACCCCAAAATCAGATAAGAGTTTCCTCAGAACTCAAACTAGGTCATAAAAATGATAATTGTACAAGAATAATCACGCTTCAATTGCTGAAACAGTTTAAAACGCTACAAATTGAGAAACACAATATATGACGAGGCTAATGTTATTAATATCAAGGTGAAGCTCAGCAGATTTCCTTTCGCATGTGGAGCTTTACAGCTTTCCTACTGATGTAGATATGAAAACGTTTATTCTAAATTGCTTTGAGTTCGTTTCAAATGCAAAGGACACAGAGATGGGGGGGACAAAGAGTGAAAAGGGAAAGAGATAAGAATAGAGGAGAAAGAGAGAGAAGGATGGAGAGAATACAAGAAAACCCTAGAAATCTGCTTCTATACCTGCAGAGAGAGAGAGAAAAAACGAGAACCAAGAAACCTCAGGAACAAACAACATATTCATTTTATACAACACTGAAAATCACCTTGTACTAATTAAAAACTCAACAGGATGGTAATGTTGGTATTCTCTGCTCAGCCTTCCTGTTATCTCCTAAAAGTTTCGCTCTTTTCCCTCTCTCAGCCTAGAGGAGCCAAAGAAACCAATTTGTTTTTAAACAGCTTCCTACTTTATTTGAATTTATTGTACTGATGCTGAAAACAGCTTTTATTCTTCTTCACATGGGACTTCCACACCAGAGAGAGCTGCTGTTACTGTTAGCTGATCAGAAATAAAAATCAGATTTTTGAGTTCCCAACTGGCTGGTCTCCAGTTGGTGACACGATGAAGCTGAAATTTGTGCATAATTTTATATACAAACACCAGATGTTGAAAATGATTCAGGGATTATGTATGTTTGTTTTTGTCACTCAAACATTGTAAAGAATATGTAGTTTACATAGTTTGTAGTTTACGTGTTGTTTTTGTGTTTTTAGGAGAATATTCCACATTGATGTTTTACTACAGCGTTCTTTAAATATAACATGGAGCTTGTAGGTTGCATGTTACATAAGCTGGTTGTTATTAAATGTCAGTTTTGCTAATTTGCAAGATGCCTCTTATTAATGTTCACTGAAGTAACCAAAACAATCCTGTTGCTCTTAGAAGATTTTTAAAGTGCTTTTTTATAAATCTGTGTACATATATTTATATCTATGCAGTTAAATTCACTAAGTGTCTTTTGTTGAACAAAATGGTGCCATCGAATGAACAGAAATACACTAAATATAAATGGATGATCATTGAGTTAACGTCAAGCAGTTTGATTTGATAGTATATCAGAGCCATTATTCATCTTCAAAATCTTCAAAAAAGATTTATATATAATTTGATTAGAGATGATTGAAATACTGATTTACATTTTTGTTTGACTTATTAAACTAGATGTGCTGGAAGATGTCAGTCAGTTGCCACTGTGACGCAGCGTTTCTGTCAGCTTTCAATGTTCTCCAATGACAATCACTTGCTACATTCCAAAAATAAAGGTACATTGAAAGTTTGGGTCTGATACTTTTTTTTCTTTTTTTTTTTTGTAAAACATAAACGGTAGCGCCTCTCATCAACAATAGTAAACTTGTTTATTTTTCCCACTATTGATTCTTTAAAGCTACATCACTTAATCGTTTTAGGCGCCATGACGGACGTCAGAAGTGAGGGACAGGACAGGAATATTGAACAGAGTGACTGAATTGGTTTTCCAAAGTTCTTTTTGCCAGTTTATTCATGGCTTCTACTTGTTCGAGCTATAATTTATCTGTGAACGTAACACACCTGTTTGGGACTAATATGGTAGTATTTACAAAAGTTGGAAACATCGAGCTTAAAAACCAACTCATACCTCCTCCCTCCTTATGTGTCGATCAAATTACCGACATTGCCTGTGACACCTGAATTCACACATGATTTATATCACTATGTCAGCAGCATTAAAAACGACCAGATGCTAACCAGCCTATTTTCATACATGCTAGGCTACATCACGGTGCGGCCATATATGATGTCTATGGTTGCGGCATTGTCTCCCTGGTTACCCATAGTGACGTCACGTGTAAAAGGTCATTCCCAGTTTCGAGGTAAATGGAACGCATTGTGCTTTTATATCTGGATCCTTAAGTGTATTGGCAGTTAAACTCCTATGTGTTATTCTGTATTTCCCCCATCATTTAGTCGTCCACATTTTGCTGTCCCGAGTCTCCTGTGGTTTTTGTGATTTGCTGAGCCAATAATCTAATTGTTAGCTAAGCGGTCTGACGTCCTCTTCCTATGGCTCGCGCTGCTGCTGAATTGTGCTTTCTTTGTTCTTCTTTTACACAAAAACTTGTAAACACGTTTCCAGAGTACAGTATTATACACGGTACAAGAGAGAAGACACGCAAGCTTTAATCTTTTATTTGTACAATAAATAAACTTGCAATACCTCAAGATTACAATTCACAACCACACACAGGGCATGATAAACCATAGTTCATCTATGTAAAAGCCATTGGAGATGAAAGGAATGACCAGGTGTGAATTTGCTGTTTTCTGTGAAACCCGCCTCCTTTTCGTTGGGGGTAAGGAATAGTTCATCATCTCTGTGTCTGTGCTGCTATAAATAGGAAGTTTTAGGATTAATGGAAACCAAAACAAAATGTTTGCGAATATTTACTCTCTCCACGACTGGTTACATTTGACATAATATATTGCCTCTGCTCCTGACTTTGTTTCCAAGGGCAAAAATAAATCCATACACCAAATTATGGGGGAAAATAAATAAATAAATAAAAACTAAAATTGTTACTCGGCCTCTTAAGTTTCACAAAAATAAGCTGCATGAGCACTGACTTGAATGTGATTTAGATAAAAAATTTCTTTAAAAAAATGGTCCTTGCAAATGACTTTGAAATGCCAATTTCAGAATGTTTTCCTTAAACCTTAAACCCAAACGGAGTTTTGAACAAAATGCTACCTTGACATGAATATTGATTGACTGTAGTATTTTTAATTAACAAATTTGACATATCTTTAAAATATTTCTTGTTGCTATTTTTGCTGAAAGATAAGGTTTGTACTGCTCAGCTGAAACTTATTAGCCTGCTAACTTGTCAGCTACTAATAAGACAGAAAAAAAGTGCTACCTTGAGTTTGTTTGGAGATAATTAAACTCTCATTATAATTAAAGCTCACCCAGTTTAATGAGTGTTTCTACTGTGCTAATTTTAGAAAATAACCTAGACTAAGCTAACTACTTGTTAGCTTTTGCTAAGTTTTTACTGTGAAAGAAATGAGCTGTGAAAGACACTGAAAGTACTTTTTTCTCTTTTGGAAAAACTTACATTGTTTCTGTTTTGTTTTCTAAAAGCAAGTGGCTTTTAAATATTGGAGGATATTCAAATTTTCAGAGAAAATAAAAAAAATTAAATGAAAGTGTTACTTTACTGGTAAATATCTTTTGGCTCTTTGGTCAGCCAAGCAGCTAAAAAAAATCAATCTGTTTGAAAAAAAAAACAAATTCTTTTTTTCAAACAGATTTGAAATCCAGTTGGTGAAATTTGATATTAAAGCGATCGCCTTCCAAAATGACAATATTAAACACAAAAGTACACCCTCAAAGCACACACACTCATAGCACTGCAGTAGTAATACAGCACTTTCAAATCAAATCACTTTCTTTTTAAAACTATGCCTGCTGATAAACTTCTCATCTGCTCAGCGCTCTAACTAGGTTAACTTGTTCAATTGATGTATTTAAAGAATCCTGTTTACACGCTTCGTTTTACTGATTACTGAAATGATTAATATTTCTTGAGACAAAACAGAATGATCCAGATTTGTGTTATTTTTTCAAGTTGAGCCCTCAATGCTCATAAAATATGTTGACATAGCTGATTTTTTTACTTTTCAAAAATTCAATTGAAATGGTTATACTTAATAAAAACTTACAGTTTCATAAGTATACAGTGTTCTGATTTTATACTAGTATGACATGTTTTTCTTTTTTTATCAAACAGATAAAAGTTATTTTGTTCTGGTGTATTTTTATTTGGATCTCCAATAGCCTAGCTATACCACTCCAGATAATTATTTATCTTTTGTTTTTCTAAACCTTTATGTCTCTCCACCATCACTTGGATTCCAATGCAAGCACCACTGTGACAGCTACGTAGCCACAGTAGATAATAATAATGTCAACATGAAAGAAATTAAAATGATAAAAAATGTCCTGAGCACCGCTAAAGCAGTCCCAGGTTAAAGATTGAACATTTTTAGCTTTTCCTCTCAGTCACTAACTTCGACAGCTTAAAACTGAGGCTTAATGGAAACACCGTCAGGACAAAAGACGGGGAAAAAAAGCAACATAAAAACTGCGTCACTGTTGTAATTTCCAGAACAGAAATCAGAACCAGACCTATGCGAGCTGGGCCTCTAAAATCATCGTTTCCACTTATTTCTGGATGTCCGGTTCACGTGGTTACACCACAAACAGAGTTTAAAATCTTCGGTTTTGGAAGCATTTTTTTTATTTTTATTTCACCTGAAACAAAATTTTTAATGTGGACAATGAGTACAAGCAAAGCAGAGAACCTCCAAACATTAACGTCCATTTTGCTTCAATACTCATCCTGGAAACCAGTAAGTGGTATTTAGGGTAACTGAGCAGCTAAAAGATGATTATGCTACAATTTGATTCCATTTTTCTGTAGATGTCTTCTCTATCACTCTTCAGATGCAGCGTACAGTGTTTGGAGGATTTATTTTTTAAAAAGAAGCTTTTCACACTCTGGAAGCTTTCTCTCCAACACGGCTTGGCTGGAGAACACAAGAGATGGAGCGGTGACCAGTCCTAAATGAAATTCACGAGGTGGCTGGAGTGAGGGGGCACAAGTCGAGCCGGGTGTCTGTTTATCGTCACTGCGTCAGGGCCAGGAGGATGTCCTTAACCAGCATGGTGCCGATCACCATCTTCTCACAGTTGATCGTCAGCTGGGCGGCACCCTCTTCTCTGGTTGCCACGGTGACTAGCACCAAGCTGCCGCTGGTCACCGTTCTGCCTGCAAACCTGTGGACAGGATGTTCAGGAGGAGGAACAGGAGGACTGAGGTCAAAGCAGCAAAACGAAAAAGAGCAGAAGTAAGGTTGAAAACACAGAATGAGAGTGAAATGGACGTCGGTTACCAGGATGTAGATTCAGATGAAAAAAATTAGATGAAGCTGGAGGCAAAAACCACACTGCTCTTCCTCAAATGTAAAAAGGAAAGAGAAGGACCCCAACTGGGAATACAACCCATAACCCTGTGTGAGGCTTCGAAACCCTTCAAATTGAGACAACACTGACATAAATAATTCACAATCAGGTCTTTTCACTTGTTTTCCAAACCAATTAGTATTTCCATTATCAACCGTATTGATTTTCTGAGTTCACACTGAGTTGTAGCAGTTAACATCTTACAGAGCGATTACATGTCTTTGGGGACAACCAGAGAGCAATTTCCACAGAAATCAGTTCATGACGGAAAAAATAAAAAGGAGTTATGATGGAAACATGGGAAAGGACGGAGTGAACAATATCCTTTCACGGAAGACAGTGTGCATTAAAGGCGAAGAAGTTTCTGAAAAGTGAAAAGGCTAGGTTTACCATCAGCTCAACAAAAACAGCTTAGCTAGCAAGCAGACAGCGTTGTAGCAACAGCTGTTAGCATAAAACGGAGTGTAAATGCACACCAGTTACCACTGCAGTAACAATTCCTATAATGTTCTGTCATTTTTTATTACAGCTGCTACTGTGGCTAATTGCAGATTAGCTGCCCACTGAGCTTTTTTAAACTGAGATAGAGTGCTGGTCTATTAGCTCTCTAAAACATACTTTACTTGAACTTTCTTGTCCTTTCTTGTCCTTATTGGTGTTACTAATGAACACATTAATATGTGTTCATTAGTAACACATATTAATGGTCAGAGTCTGTTTGTTTTGCTTTCTTTATAGATTTCAAGTATGAAAATAAGCAGTACTATAATGATATGGAACCTGTTTTTTTCTGAATCAAACTTTTCCAAAACAACTGCACAATTTTTTAGATTAAAATGGATACCTGTGCTTACTGAGCTGTAGAGGTAATAAACAGAGGGAGAATCATAAAGTGTATTCAAATCTGCTAGTATGGCTTGCTTGAAGACATTTTTTCCAGTTTTACTAGAGGATGTAAAATGAATTAAAGGATGTAGTGACATCTAATGGCAGAAGTGGAGAATGCAGTCAACTGAATATCATTTGCCACAGATTTCTTTTCAAAATATTTGGTCAGTGGAAATTCAACCCTCCTAATCTGAAGCCATGTCTGCTTTACAGTACTGAACACAACTATTAACTATTGAAGTTTGAAGCCTTATTAAAAGTTAAACTCAACACTCCAATTGTCATTACTGTTATTATATGCTGAATATTCTGCGGTCTGGATGAAGATGCTATCACTGTTTACTATATTCTGGGATTTGAAAGCTGGTTGTGCCTTTGATTTAAAC